TTATTATGCCCGAGTTTATCCTTCAGCATCACTTATGGAAATTACATCGGGCATGCGTTTATTATCTGTTTATCATCCGTCTGTTTGCAATGTACCCTCCAAGAAAACATGGACCTTGTCTATTTTGATCACAAATGTCTCCCCAGCACTGAGCTCACTGTCTGGCGCATCTTAGTGGGTGCTTCAAAATATTTGTAGGATGCCTATACGAACAGATGGCTGCAACCTACCTTTCCAGCATGTTCTGCCTTAACACCTCTTCAGAAAATATAATTTCTCTGCCATCAATAAAACTAGCAGCAGTGCATCACACATGCCTCAGTATGTCCCTGCTCCAAGTCTTTGTCCTTACTGTTGTCACCACCTGATCTGCTCATTTTTCAAGGCCCACCACAAATTCTGCCATTGAGGGTGATTAGGGTGCACCAAAAAGCAATGCTTGGGAACTCAGCTTGCATGCCCAGCCCTACCACTCCCTAGCTGTGGGGCCTCAGACAAACGACTTAAAATCTCCAAAGCACAACTGCTTCATTATAAAGTGGGTCTGAGATACCTATCTTACCAGGGCATATGTATTTGCTTACATGTTTGATTTTTGTTTGTTTGTTTTTATTATAGTTTGCAATAGGGCATATACACTCCAAGAGAGCTGGGGAGAGGGTGGTGAGAAAATACTTCCTTGGGCCAGCAGATGGTGTAACAGTTATGTCACTGGATTCCACGTGGCCAACCTGGGTTCGAGTTCCAGACCTGGTAGTTTGAAAATCATGCCGGGCATGTGTGTATGCATGCCCACCCAAGATCCTTAAAGGAGAATAGATGAAAAGGGATTGTGGCATGGCCATCCCCATTGGTGGGTGATTTCTCACTTTCCCTCTCACTGTCTCTGTCTCACTCTTTGCTCTTTCCAGCCAAGTGCACATGCCCTAAGGCAAGAAGAAACAAGAAAAGAATAAAAAAAGATTCCCCAGAGGGGATTGGCCACACTGCAATCCCTTCATCTCCATTCTCCTCTCGGAATTTTGAGCACACATGTACATGTGTGTATTTCAAGCTGCCAGATCCAAAACTTGAACCACAGTCATCCATATAGAATCCAACTGCCTTAACTAATGTGCCACTTGGCTGGCCCCTGCATGTTTTAGACTAGATTAAATGAAGCAACTCAGGAAGGACTCATATATTTCAAACCCTCCTCTTCACAGTTGTCCTTGAGTTAAGCAGCCACACAATCTCTTACTCCTTTGAATGCCCATAAGATCTCATCACTGATCACTGACCACATTCCACCGTGTGTCACTGGCATGTCTGCAGCCATCTTCCGACCCATGCCCCTACTCCAGAACATGAGTCCCTTGACACAGGGACTGTGCCCTTTTTGGGGGGGTCAGGGGGGTGGGGAGAGGGTTGTGGGTTTGTTTTTTTTTTTTTTTTTTTTGCTATAGGGTATGTGCGCTTACCAGAAAGACAGAGAGAGACAGAGAGACAGAAAGCAAGAAATCACCCCCCAGGGGGATGGCCATGTTGCAATCCCTTCTCCTCCATTCTCCTCTTGGGATCTTGGGCACCCACATACCCAGAGTGAGTTTAAGCCACTGGGTCCGGGACTTGAACCACGGTCGACTACATGGGAGTCTAGCGACATAGCCTTTATGCCAACTGCTGGTCCCAGAGACTGTCTTATTCATCTGCATTTCCCTGGTTTCTATCATGTAACATGTGCTTGAGAAACATTTGTGGAAGGAACACACATGGGAATGAGAAAAGACCTGAAGTCAGGGGTATCAAGGCTGCAAGTAACCATAAGAGAGATGGTTTGGAAGGAGAATGAGTGTCCAGGTCCACATCACAGGAAAGCATTTTCTTAGTCTGTCCAGGGGCCAGGCTCACCCAGAGAAGCAAAATAAAAGGAAATCAATGAGATATTAAAACCAGCAGGTGTAACTCTGGTAGCTTCTCTCTTCACCTCTCAGTTCTTTGTAAAATGAGAGGGTTGGACCAGTTGGTCTCTGGGAATTATGGCAAAGTGTGTGTGGGGGTGGTGGGGGGGAGATGGCGGGTGACAGGTTTTAGAGCCAGATTCACCTGGGTTTGACCTGGTTTTTTTCTATTGGTTGCCTGTGTAACTTTACACCTGTACTCCACCTCTCTGGGCGTGTCTCCTCAGCTGTAAAATGGCAGTAATGACAGCTAGTGATAGCTATTGAGTAGATTAAATGGGACAATGAGAGCCCAAGGCCCTGCACATAGGAAAGGCTCCAACACCCCTCTCTCTACCTCAGCCTTTGCTGCCTCTGCTGCCTCTGTTGCTTCTACCCCTGAAGACCCCATCCTTACTCTTGACCAACACAAGTATCCATCAGAGCCTTTTTTGCCCCAAGTGGAGGAAAACTTGCCCTCCCATGACATAGCTCTGTCAATCTGAAAAGGTAAACTGAGGCAAAGTATATAAAGCAAAAGAAGTTTACTTAGGTCAGGTCTGAGGGCTGCGGTCCAACATGCTGGTTGCCCAAACATGTGTACTGAGATCTTACCATCTTCAAGCAGATTTTAAAGGAAACACACACACACACACACACACACACACACACACAAGCAAAATGGAGAAGGAAAGAGGAAATTTTACCAGTTGTTTTGGGACAATTATCCTCGGCTACTGGAATCAGTCACAAGGGTGGCATCAGTCCTGGGTTAGACAGGCAGTCTCGGGACAATGTCCTTGCAGAAGTAGTCCTCGGGTCATGTTGCAAGGTTATGGTTCTGGAAATCCTCGTGACAGTGCTTTTATCAGGCATGTAAGCTTGAGAAAGCACCTCTCTGTGGCCTTCCCCAGTTCGGTTTAATTAGGGTTTAACACAAGTTAACACAAATGACTCCATTTTGATTCTGACAACTTTCCTTTAGTCAACTGATGGCAAATCTTACTTCTCTGATTGTGAGGGTCACCCAACAGACTCGTTTTCCTCCCAGCCCAGAGGAAATCCCCATTTTCCAGTCCCTTGAATCCAGGCAGGGGCATATGACTCATTCTGGGCACAGACGACAAGCAGGAGTTTGTTGAACCACTTCCACTTCTGCCTTGTTAAAATTCCCAACTTTACTCTCCCCATTCCTGGAACAGTGGGAGCTCACAGGTGGAGGATGACAGCATCACTGTGTGGAAGGAGCTGGCTCCCTGAATGAGGGGACCACATCAGACTATGATACGGGTGAGTGATTCCACTCCCGAGATTTTAGGGGTTACTGCTCACAGCAGCACAGCCTTGTCTCCCCTAACTAAACTGGAGAGTCTGACAAAGAGGGGCACATCTGCTACACTTGCTGCTCTGTACCTCTGTCCCATCTGGGGGTGAGTCCTCTTCTCTCCTGACTCACCCCTCAGGGAGCAGGGGTCAGGCTTCCTCACCTCCATGTCCCACTCCCACCCTTTGTGCTAATATCTAGTTTCAAATATCAAAATTCACGTTCACAGTCTCTGCCAGGGCATCCATTGTTCTCATGCAAATTGGCTCCTTTGGCGAGCCTGGTGCCCTGGAGCTCCCCAGGGCAGTGCTTAGGTCAGACCCTGCCCTCACATCCACTGCTCCTCCTTGGACTGGGCATCAGTCTCCCCACATATACCATAAGGGCTTCAGAAGGCCTTTTCTGCTCTGATATTGCTGGCAAGCTGATGAAAGCACCTCTGGAAGAGGCTGCTCCCCAGCCAGGCCTCCAGCCCGAATGTGACCCATAAACTCACGGCCGAGTAAACAACCTTTATTGGGCCTGGGTACACTTCCTGGCCATTCTGTCTCCACTTCTATTCCCCAGCTCAGGCCTGGCCAGTTCTCCAGCATGGTCCCTCCCAGCCCCTCTAATTTTATTCTTCAGATCTCTGCTGCCTCCAGCCCCTTGCTACCCTGACACCTGCATCCCCAGCCTGAGGGGGGTGGAGAGTTTCTTCCCTTATCAGCTTATTTTACTGCCCCCTCCTCCTTGGTTACACAGTAATTTGGAGCAGCGTTCCTGGCAGGAACAGATCAACAACTGTCACCTCCCAGCCAACAGTTTATTGGACAGAGAGAAAGGGTCCCTTCGGTGCTGTCTTGGAGACAGGTAAGGAGTGTGCACGCAGGAAAGGAGCAGAAAAGACCCCCAAAAGGAGGAAGAGACTTCCCAGGCCAGGCGTGCAAGGAGAGAGGGCTCAACAACGAGAGGTCAAAGAGAGAACAGGAGGAAGCCAGAGCTAGCCCAGAGGCACCCAAGGTGGTTAGACCCCACCACCCAGCCCAGCGTGGCCTGGCAGCGAGGAGGAAGCAGGTCTGCCAGTACAAAACGGCCCCTTTTCCTTGGCCTCTACGTGTGGGACGACAGACGCGCAGACACTCTGGAAGGCCCATTCCGGAGTTTGGAAGTGCAGAACTGAAGAAAGTCCAGGAGGGTTCTGGGAAGGTCCTCCAAGCTGCAGCATAGCCCAGGACTGAACTGGTGACCTGGGGCCCACAACGGCACTCCAGCCTTCCAGGGGCTGGCCAGAGCCGGCAGGAAAGGGCAAAGGTAGACACGCTTCCTCCTGGTCCTCCCTGAGGGCAGATCTCTCGCTTCAACCCTTGCCCATACTTCTCTCTCCTCTTTGCTCCCCTGAGCTTAAGGACCCAGGCCTGGTGACTGAAAGCAACTTTCTGGAGAAGACCCTCTCTGGAAGACAGGGCTCCAATCTGGCAATGGCAACTCCTTCCATGTCAAGCTAGTGGGAGCTGTGAGCCTAGGGGCCCAGCACCCAGCACCTCCCAGCTCTGCTGTCAGGACCTGCCTCCTCAGCCCCAGGGCATTTGAAGTGGCCCATGGAAGTCCTTGTGGAGACAGAATCTTGTTTGGATATCCAACAGGGGCTCCCTGTTCTCCACCACTGCCTGCCCTGTTGATTTCAGAAGGTTTGGAGGAAGAAGCTCGCCACCCTGTCCTGGCAGCACCTTGAGCTCACACACAGCCCCTTTGCCCCTCCATACCACCACCCAAAGAGGGTGCCAAGGCAGGTCCTGCTCTCTGCAGGGCTATGGAGAGGAAGACCCCAGGGTGCTCTGAGGCCCCAGAGAAGCTGACCCTGTCCTTCTCCATCGAAGCAATCCTAAGGAGGCCCACTGAGAGGAGTGATAGAGTCAGGCTGCAGGGAGCCGATGGAGAGGGCACTGTTCAAGCAACAGCGATCAGCTCCAGGCTGGAGAGGCCCTCACAGGACCAGCCCCAGGGTAAGTGTCTGATCATCTTCTTTATTCCTTGAGTTGTAAGGTCTGGTTGGGCTTAGACAGGAAGGAAGCTGTAAGCATCAGAGGGATACCAGGCTCTGGGCTACTGTCTTATCCATCTTGCAATCTAACCCAGAACTGTGGTTTTTCAAGTGTAGACACCAAGCCTCAGCTAGTTGCAGAATACAGGGACCTAGAGTTTGATGCTACACCCAGGTCAGAACTAAGAATGCTGGTTACCATTTATTTGGCATTGACAATGTGGTCGCTCATCAGAAGATAGGCACAATTATCACAACCACACAGGTGAGAAAAGTCACAACCAGGAGGAGGTGACTGATGTCCCCAAGTTTCACAGTTAGTAGGCAGAGGACATGAGATCAGGACCTGACTCTGGCTACCTTCAAACTCCTGTTTGGTCTTGTGCCTTCTCCTCATAAACAGTTCAGCCCACATACCTTTGATCTGCTGAAGCTTTGCCGGGGATCTGCCAACCCTGATCACCCACCCCAGCCCTGTGACCATCCCAAGGCATGTCCCTAAACAGCTGTGACCAGAGAGATTTCAGCACACTCCTTGAGAGCCAGCGTGAGCAGAGGACAAGAGGCAGCATTAGGGCATTGAGGTGGATGCATCCACCCTGCTGAGAGTCAAGAACCCAGGAGTGAGCTGCAGTCCTGCCCTGCCTGCTGTATGACCTTAGGAAAGTCCCTGTCCACTCTGTCCTTAGCATCATCCTGGGTCAAACAACTAAATTGAGGGGGAAAAAATGTTGGAGCTGAAGCTGTGCCGGGGTCCTTTTAATTTATTTATTTATTTATTTTTGGAGAGGTTTTTGCTATAGGGCGCGTGTGCTCGCCAGACAGACAGAGAGAGAGACAGGGAGACAGAAAGCAAGAAATCACCCCCCAGGGTGTGCTCGCCAGACAGACAGAGAGAGAAACAGGGAGACAGAAATCAAGAAATCACCCCCCAGGGGGGATGGCCACACTGCAATCCCTTCTCCTCCATTCTCCTCTTGGGATCTTGGGCAGGCATGCGCATGCGCCCAGTGTGAGTTTTAAGCCACCGGGTCTGGGATGCAAACCGCAGTCGACTGCGTGGAGGTCCAGTGACATAGCCATTAGGCTAACTGCTGGTCCCGCCGGGGTCCTTTTGAGTCTGATAGTCACACAGTATCTCACATGAGGTTCCCAGATCCCCCTCTCCCCATTCACTCCTTTAATCCAAGAAAATACTGGAAAGAAAGCTCAGAGTGGCCCTTGACTTTTTTACCTACCAGACACAGAACCCACCCCTCTGAAGTCTCCCACTGAGGAGGGTGTTCTGAACTGCAGACAATGGGAAGACCCTGGAGAGCTACTGTCTCTAGGCAGCTGGCTCATTTCCATGTGTCAGAACCCATCAATGGAAAGAATCTCTAGTTTAATTTTTAGAAGTTCATTAATATCTTCCAGTCAATTGAGCATTCAAAGGAGGAATTCCCCTGGGGCTCCAACCTAAGTCTCCCCTACTGCAGCTTGTTACAATGAGAGAGAGAGAGGGTGAAAGAGAGAGAAGGGAATCTGAACAGCTTCCCTTCCCCTAGTCCCCACTCTCCTCCTAGCGATGGCTGGTGCCAGGAAGAAGGGCACTCTTCCTAGGTCCCCACTGAAGATCTAGCATGTCCTGTGTCCAGCTGTGCTGGGCCCAGGCAGACCCAGTAAGTGCTGGGTTGGAACACCAGACAGTGCCCTGTGGCTTTCACAGCATGTTCATGGTCATGGTCATTTCCCCATTACACTGGTGCAGTGTGAATCCCACCTTGCAGAGGACCAACCAGAAGAGGGGATAAATCACCCACAAAAGCTATGTGAGTAGTTAGCATTAGAAATGCAACCTGGTGGCCTAAGACCATCGCTCCAGGTAATTCCCATTGTAGTTTAACTCACATATCTCCTACTCTGCTGAGGCTCAACATTTCTGAGAGCATGATGAAGGTCCCACTGGTAGTTTTCAAGATGACTGTGGGATATGCAGAACAAGATTATGTAGGTCAATAGCTCTGTAATTACTTCTACACTCATCTGTTAATGATGAAAACTACTGGTTATCCATTTATGGTTATGATAAGACCTTTTCTTTTAAAATAAATATATGGTCAACCCTCCATAATCAGGGGTCCTGGGGACTCATCCAACCATGGGGATTCGACCAACCCCAGATGGAAAATATTATACTGTTCCTGATGTGAACTATGTAGTCAGGCCTATGAAGTGATGGTTGTGTTTGTATTGAACATGTACAGATATTTCTTACTCTCTAAACAAAACGATGTAACAGTTACATAGAGTCACATTGTATTCAGTATTATAAGTAATGTAGAGATGATTTGAAGTGTATGGGGGATGTGCAGAGAGGTTCTATGCAAATGCTACTCATTTTGTATAAGAGCCTTGAGTGTCCACAAATTTCGGTGTTCCCAGTGTGTTCTGGAACCAACTCCCCATGGATACGAGAAGACTGCTTCATTTGAGTAAAATAAAAAGTTGATTTGGGAAAATACTAAGCAAATATATAATAAAACAGATGGAATGCCACTACAAAGGTAAATTGCAGACATTGCAAATGAACTGGAGTCTATAAAACGTGCCAGCTGAGAAATGCAGAAAACCTGCCCCTCTAAACCCAGATCTGGTGCCTATTTATAGAAAAACTATAGGCAAGCAGCTTCTCTCTCTCTGAGCCTCAGTTTCCCCATCTGTAACATGAAAGAGTGGAGCTAGAATACACGTAAGGTCCTTGCCAGCTCTGACATACCATGATCAACTCAACGACACACTAGTTGCTAAAAACATCTTAGAGGAGTCCCTCGTTTTTCATGGGAGAATCTTCCTCTTTGCAGAACGGGAGGTTGTGATGCCAGGTAGGGCAGGAGCAGGTGTCAGAGGCAGACCCTGTCACCAGCCCCTACCTCTTCCTACCCTCCTGGAGCCCCTAGGCCCAGCCCAGCTGCTACTAGCTGATGCCCCTCTGCCTCCTTGTTAGCCCTCGCTTGGCGCAGGAGCCCTCAGAGAAGGGTGACAGGATCAGAAACAGCAATGTCCTCCCCGTGCCAGTAACAGGCATGGACGAATAAATCCCTCTGTCTCCCCCTGACATTTAAAGGGCTTTGTGAATGACATTACCTCATCGTCCACTATCCAAACCGCCTAGGGATCTTGTTAAAATGCAGCATGTTAGACCAACTCCAGGGTCCAGTGGTTAAGACAGTCAGATCCCATTTGGCCAATGGCATGTTTCAGGTCCTGGACCTGGCAGCTGAGAAACACCAAGCATGTGTGTGTGCCTGCCCAAAATCCCAAAAGGAGAGCAAAGTGAAGGAGAAGAGATTTGTGGCATGACTATTCCCCACAGAGTGGGTTTTCTTTCTCTCTCTCTCTGGCGAGCGCCCATACCCTCTAGCACAAAAATAAAATGCAACATCTCCGTCTGGGCATTTGGACTATGGCCACAGGTCTAGTGCAGGGCCCAGGAATCTGCATTCTAACAAGTTCTTCCCAAATGAGTCTGCTGTTAGTGGTCCAACGAGCACTCTTTGAAGAGGCCGAGGCTTAGACAGGTCTAGCACCTTATTCCAAGCCACAGAGCCAGTACATGCAAGAACTGAGGCCAGGCCAGTGTCCGGCTCCAAGACTACTGCAGTGTTCTGCCTCCTCATTTCTCAAGAACCTTGGTCTTGCCACATTTATCCACGATGACCCTCATGATCAGTGAGTTGGACCCTCCCACTTCTCAAGTCATTGGGGAAATCCAAGAGGGCCTTCCTACCAGAAGGGATGCTAAGTTCAGCTGACCACTCCCTCCTTCTGAGAGAGGAAGCGCCCTGAAAACCAGAGACTCCAAAAACAAGAGAGAGCCAATCAAGAGGAAGCCTCTCTGAAGAGGAAGCTCAGACCCTGAGGAGAGAGAGATTATTTAAGCAGCTTTCCCACTGAAGAGCCTCTGAGAAAAAATGATGAGCCTGGAGGAGAGGGTACAGGAAGATGGTAAGACAGTGTGGGTCATCTGGCCTATAGGGAACCCAAGGTTGTGCTCGCTCACTCATAAGCTATTCACTCACTCAGTGAGTTGCCAAGCGCTGACTCTGGGCCAGGCTGAGGCTGGGAGGTGATGGTGAGTAAACCAGACATGGTGTTTATCCACCTGGAGTGGCCTAGTGACAGCGGCCGTGGACCTCAGGACAGTGTCAACTTCTATTCATCTTATCCAGTGGAGCTGACTGGGGACACAATGCTACCCTTGGCATTTGAGAACCACTCTATAGCAAGGGTCAGGAACATTTTTCTGCAGAGGGCCAGGTGGTAATTTTTATCTCGGATGGCCAGCTGGTCTGTCACAATTACTCACCTCTGACCTCAGAGCTGAGGAGCACCTTCAGATAATGGGGAAAGGAAAGGGCAGGGTTGTGTTCCAATAAAACTTTATTTAAGAACATAGGCAATGGGCTGGCTTTGGCCCTCGTACTGCAGTTCATCAGGCTCTGACCCCACGTCACTGTTGTGGCACTCAAAGCCTTCACATACTGGCCCTGCCAGTGCCCATGCTCATCTCGCATCATACCCATGGGACTCTCAGTGTCCACCCTCAAGGCATGTAGTGCTCCTCTCTGACTTCCACATTCCTCCTGCCCTCCCAGTCTCGCCACTCCTTTGCCCTTCAGAGACCACTGCTCCTCCTGCCTGTTCTCTCTCCTCATTCTCTTCTTTTCCCTCATCCTCCACCTCTGCATTAGTTTTCTATGACTGTCACAATTAATGACCACACATTGAGTGGCTTAAAACAGAGCTTTATCCTCTATCAGTCTAAGGACCAGGAGTCTAAAGTCCTGGTTCCCTCTGGCAAGTCCGAAGGGAAATCTGATCTACATCCCTATCCTGGTTTCCAGGGGTTCTGGCAATCGTTGGCCCTCTTTGGTTTGTGAATGCAATCTCTGTCTTCTCAAGGTCTTCTGCTCAGTCCCA